GTCCCAAAAGTCCCCAAAATATGATTTTTTCTGAGCTCCTCCCCCCCCCAATAAAGACTCAAAATGGGCACATACAACTTTTTTTTATTTCAATGTGTTGGGTGCATGAAAATTTATATTTGCGCCAACTTGCATCTTGATTTCTTTAAATATGACCGCACAGGAGCCCAAAATATAGATTTTGGGATTGTTTGACATTTCACCACATACAATCTTTAAAAAGACCTAAATAAACAAAATGAAGATTTCTGGCGTATCGGAGCAGGGTATAACTCTAATAGGTTTCAAATCAAACCGACGAGAAATAAAGGAATGCAGGTCGATTGTGAAGTGTTTGGAAGAAGAAGAAACAATAGAAAAACAGTATGTCTATCTGCAGAGACATAATTAGAATTAATTCAGTTATTGATGATATGGTTTCCTGTGTATTTCTACACAGAAAATAAGTGTCACCACCTAATTTGTCCTGTTAGTTTATTCACAATGAGTTTTATGACGTGCAAACATAACATTACTCAACAAAATGCAATATGTGTACCTCAACGGTACAGTGAACGTTTTTAAACATATCGATAATTTGAGGGCTAATGTGTAAGAGTTATAAAAACTATCTAAATACAGTTTAGTTTTATTAAAGCTGGCAAAATACATCCTAAATCATTTGAAAAAAAAATTGTCGTTTTTTTTTAAATATTGTTCTGATTATTTTTATCAAACAGTAGTTGATAGTTTAGTTGAAATAAGCACTGACTGGCGTTGATAGTATAAGCTACAAGCTAATAGGTATTTTGCAACTCGGGTCACAAAATACTGGCATCTACTTCATATGTTTAAATAATAAATACCCAAGGTTTCTTGGTGTTAATAATTTACTTGTGCAACATGTTTTCGGCTTTTCTACTGCAGCTGTCTTCAGGCTTAACTGACTAGTTAACTTTGAACACGCTAAGGAACAACCATTAAGTTTTACAGGAAATATTCATGCTTTAATACGTTGTTAAAAGTCTCCACAAATATTTAAGAACATAGGTAACTAACTAAGTCAAGAACAGATGTTTCCAGAAACAAACTACAACATATTTTCAGAAATCTTTATATTTTATGTTCGTAAGACCTTCGAATCCCTCTCTCAAATACTAAAACTCGTGTCTTTGTTATAAATGTCTTTGAATTTTTATTTTACTTTTAATGAAAATGTGTTTCAAAATGAGCAAAAGGGAACCCTCCATAGCCGCGGCACTTGAAATTCTTTTAGGCAAGATTAGAGTAAATTAATCTATGAGACCTCGAGTGTGGTCAAATGCATCAGTCGGAAGAATTTGACCTCCTGAATCCAAAACTTTAAATATATATCAAATATGTCAAGAGATGACGGAGGTATGAGCTGAAAGTTTGTATTTGAAAAGTAAAAACAAAAACAGCAAAAAAAAACAACAAAAAAAAAAGTCGGAGCCGTTCTACGAGTCGCTCAGTCGTGGTTAAAAAGTAAAAAATGTTCTGAATCTGGTCACAATATATATCGATATTCGATTTACCCTGTGCTACAGTTCTGGATTTGGGATCTGATGTACTTCTAGTTCGCGCGATACCACAAAATATTCCACCTACTGTAAGCAGTTAGTGCGTTATAAGAGTGACAGTAAATCCCTTAGCCTGAATGGGGATGGCAGGATGTTGCTAACTGGTTGTCTTCCCAATGGTCAATAGTTCAAAATTAATGACGAAGTCAGAGTCGTAGTAATTTTCCATAAATACAAAGTAGATATATTTATATGCATAAAAAAGTTAATTACCTACCTTGGTGAATGTGAAGAAAGCAGTTTAGAAATAAAATCAACACACGCGTCATTTTGTAGATTCTGTATAAATTTTGAAAGTGATGAAACCTTCCTATATAAGAGTTAATTTCCGAAGAAGCAGCACCCTGAACGAACTTCTCAGCCAGCGCAAAAATGTTATCTTTTTGGAGAATTATAAATCTGAGAAGAAGACCGAGTACTAAAAGAAAAAAGAGTAAAAGAGGAAAGGTAAGCTTGTAGCCTCGACTTCACAACCAGTCTCCACCAATCGCAAGTTTCATCTCACCAAAGCTAACTATGACAGAGTTCTTTGATTATCTAAGTGCTGTGCCTCGTCATCTCACAGTCTATCGCTGAGATCTGCTTTCCAAGTGCACTTTTATGGCTTTCTGAATGAGATGCAACGGCGCTATAGTTATACGTGTAGTATATTAAACAATGAAAAAATCCCACACTAACTGTTTAAAGACAATTTTTTCGACTTTGCTGCCATCTGTTGGAGCAAAATTAAAAAAATACAATTTTACAGTTTTTTGGAAAGGTGAGCGCATGTGTACGTTTTATGATTATAATCATCGTTAAAATGAATTTATGTTAGACATCATAATTACCAATTAATTTATCAGTTAAAATTTCTAGCATAAACATTTAATAAGTAAATTAACACAAGCAAGTTAACTCCTTGTTATACCGCATATTTTAATTATGTATTTAATAAAGCCAGTTTCTCATATTTGTATTATACTAACAAATTACTAAATAATAAAAGAGGCTATAAACAGCACTATAATACACTAATTGAACTCAATTTTTTACAATATTTTTTATTTGGTTGTTTAGACCTGGTACTCTATCAGTCTTTTTCCTTGTGACCTTTAACACTATGTGAAAAATCGTCCATTATCTTTGTTAAGATTATTATATCCTTTTTAAATCTACCTACTATCAATGCACACGTAAGATTATATCTATAATCTAATATGTTAATTCTTGTAACAGTCTAATAAGATTCCTTACAAAAATCTCTTTCTTCTGTTGAGAGATTTGGAAACATATTATAAACAAATTCTGATTCATTTCTGAACTTTATAGTTATATATTAACTTAATGAAAGATGTTTACTTACAAATATTGTTAAATTAGTTCTATGTCCGTCGGTGGGTTTAGAACGCTAAAATCTAGAGCTCGATTCTCCGCGATAGACAAACCCATTATGTAGCTTTGTTATGAGAGGCTTCTGTTATGATTATAATTAACTTCGGAAAAGGAGAAATTTTTACTGAATACTTATATTAAGCGTACAGCATGATTTCTTTTTATTAGTTTCTTCATTGGCTAGTATTCTGACAAACGATGAAAGTAATTGGAAGTAATTAGTGACGTCAAAGGTAGCAAAGTTGCAAAATGACTGTTAACACTATAAAACAGAACAAACATATGATTATTTATTATTACACTAATAACTAAACGCTATTTTAGACCCACCAGAAAATGGGTGCAAATCGAGTAAAAGAAGATGAAAATTTGAGGATATTGAATAGATCGAGTGTATTGAAGCTCGTCTTGAGTGAACGAGGCGTTGTTGCCCATTCAAGTTAGATTCAGATCTTAACTTAGCCCAATGATGGACATTGCCATCGTAGAAAAAAAACGAGGATATTCTCCTCCAGGTGAATTCTGGGATCTGAACATCCACCCCCGTGTTTGCTGTGCGTGGCAACCCGTGAAGGGAAAGAGAGGATCCTGTTGTTTGAGTGGTGTCTGTGGCACTGCAACACACCACTTTGGCCTTGAATACCCGTAGACGGGTAGCCTTGGGGTGGCTCCCCTAGGGTGAATCGGCTGGTCCTGTTGTGCTCGGGTCAACTGAGTACCAGTGTGGGCGTTCTCAACGGGTGTTGTGGACAATTGTCTGATGCTGGTGTTTGGGTATAGTGCTCACGAAACTCTAGCATTGCTGCAGTGTCCTAGTTTGACGTTATAGTGCGTCCCCTCATAGGGCACTGAATCTTCCTCTTTTTATTATGGATCTCCAAATCCTAAAAACAAAATCGAAAACACTCCGGTCATGGGTAAACGACCACGCGTTTTCTTATCGTGCATTCTTTGTCAGAAAAACCTTTAGAGCAAATGTCTGCCCTTTTTATTCAGAAGGGATTAGAGGTACTCCATAGTCAGTTCTGGGACATCTTGGTGGAAGCATCAACATCAAAACACAGTGAATTCCTCTTGAATTGAAAGGGCATTGGAGATATACCCATTGAGGTTACTCCCCATGAGACTTTGTATTACTCACGAGGAGTTATTGTTGAAAGGGATTAGAAAAACATCCTCGAGTCGGAGATCATCACTGGTTTCTCGAGTCAAGAAGTTTCTGCATTGCGTCGTATCTCCACTCGTAAAGACGGAATTATACTGTCTACCAATCTTCTCAGTTTGTCGTTTACATTATTACCACGTGCACCTGCTGCTGTCAAGGCAAGTTATTTGAACTGTAAGGTACAGCCATATATTCCCAACCCTCTCTGATGTTTCCAGTGCCAGCAGTTCACTAATTCGAAGGCATCTTGTCGTGGTTCTGTGATGTGTCCTTGTTGTGGTGGCAAGGACCACGACGCCTATGAGTGCGAACTGAACCATCACTGTGTTAATTGTAGTGGTTCCCA